ATAAACCAGACTTCAATACGGTTCCCCAGTTCAAAATATATCTATTCTTCAAATTCAACTTACATGTATAGTCTATAAGTCACCTCTGGTTCAAAATTGTTTATTTAGTGACAATGCCAGTTTTCTGCTGTTTGTTTAATTATTTGCACAGAGCAGGGAGTGTATCCCCAAAAACCCTTTTGCGTTCCTGCAGGCAGTGTGTGGGTATGTGAATAGAGTCATTACTGCCACTTGATCAGACTGTTAGGCCCCATTTCCAGGCCACTAGGTTCAGCAATAAAAACGTGACTTAATTAAAGTTCTGCATAATGCTCAGTTGTGCTGTCACATTCTCTTTTTAATGCCTAATGGTGTCATTTCCAAGTCTATCATTGCCACTAATTTCCTGATTAGGTATTGTTTGTCATTTGTCAGGTGGGTCTAATGCAGTTGATGGCGATGGTGGAGTCCCTGCTGCAGCTGCTTATGTGCATCGCGTGGAGGAGCTGCGTTCTCTTCTTGAGGCTCAGCTCACGTCAGGTATACAGGCACTGAAGGTTTTGCCCCCTGTACAGCAGATACTGGCTCTGCCTACCCAGGTACGCACTATCATGAACGACCTACTGGAACTGGGACAGATTCTCATACAGTTGCTCATCAACACCACCCCACTCTATGACCTGGTGAGAACACACACACACACACACACACACACACACATACACGCACACACACACACACACACACACACACACATACAAGAACAACACCCTAGAACCTGTTCTAATGCAAAAATTCAAAAACATCCAAGTACATGTTCTAGTGACAAAGAACACTCTAGAATCATGTTATGAGGCAAAACGATTGTCTCTATCAGTCTAAACATAATTTTCTTTTTCCTTTCTTGCCAAACACATCTGTTTAGAGTTGATAGGATGAACAAAGCTAAATATATCACTCTGTGTTCCCATAAAAACTAAATGAGTAAATCTGTGTTTCATATTGTGTTGCATTAATCACATGGCCTGGTTTGTTTTCTCTTCAGGTTACCATGTTTCTTTTCAGTAATGGGAAATGTGTTTGTGGAATGATGGGTTTGCTTTTTAATTTTTTTTTAAACACAGATCATTTTAGATCAGGTACATAATGCTTTCAAGACACTGTACAACTTAATTAAACTTCAATCACATATAAGAACTGTTGTAGTCTAAAAACACTTCTTTTCGGTTTCAGACTGTTTAAATGGGTTTGAAGCTCAAACCAAATTGGCAATATTTAAACTTTTTGTCTGTAAACAGTTCTGTTTTCTGAAATTAGCTAAATGCATTTTAATTTAATAAAAACAGCATAAAGGGGTGCAACTCTGGTCTGACAGGTGGGGTGAGGTGAAGGTAATAGTCAGTTTTCATTTCCGCGACAACATACCATTCTAATGTGTAATGGATTATCAAAATTAAAACAAGACAAAGAACATATTTATTTCAGGAAATTATATGCAAAGAATTTATTTAAGTTGCATATCTTATACAATATACAATTCCAAAAGTTTCAAATGTGTCAATTACTGTATGTGTATTATACAACAAAATTAGTAAAAAAGAACAATACATAAACTTGTACTAAAATGTACATTAACATAAATGGTCAGTTAAGAATAAATGAACAAATTATAAGCAATAGCACAAATTTTTCAGGTATGTCTAACAGTCTTTAGGTATGAAATACTATAATGTATACATTTAATATATATATTAGTCCTTATTAAAGCTAAAGGAGTTATTCAGTCAAGAGCAGATTTGAGCAGTGATCTTTTTCTTTTGTTCAACAAATATAATAAATTAAATTACAATTTTCAAAATAATCAAAGTAAGTATCAGAGTCTTGGATTACAACTTTTTTTTTTTATTCTCTCTTTGTCATTTATCTTAGTCTTATAATCTGTAATGCACTGTGGTCAACGCCTGTTGTGTTTATTTGTGCTATATAAGTAAATGAAATGAAATGACTGTTCCTCTCTTCCCTATCAGGTAAAACAGGTTTCTGATCTCGATGCAGCAAACAATCCAATTCCAGGTGAACTTCCTGAGAGTCCCTCCAGCCGTGCCTCTGCAAACAGCCTCTTCCTCAAGGCCATGGACGGTCGCCCGCGTCGCCGCAGAAGCCTTTACGCCCGCTCCCGTCGAGGGTCTGCCAGCGGGCTACCATCAAGCCCAGGTCTCTCCCCAACTCCTACCCCAGTCCCAAATGGCCGTAAAGGCAGTTTGAAGCTAGATTCCCAGCCTTCAGGCACTCCAGAAATTGACACACTGGCTGTGCCCACCACTGATATGATCCGCCGTCGTTCCTCAGCCACCGAGGTCCTGCTGGCTCCCATTATGCAGTTAGTAACACAGAGCCAACGGGCATTTGAGTTTCTGAGCTCTGGCCCTTCATCTGAAGATCAGGTCATACCTGTGGTGGAAACCACAGAACATTAGGCTCCACTTTTCTCAAACATGTAATCAGAGCATTCAAACGCAGATCGCTGCATCTCACAGGCTGTTATGGATAGTACAGCAAACATACCTTCAAACAACAATCCATACAGTGGCTTCTGTAGTAGGCCTACAAAAACAAATCTAGTGACTAATTATTAAATAACATCATTAGCCGAGCATTCAGTACGTGTAGATGTTTTAAAATAAAGCATTGTTTTAGCTATGCGTGTTACTTGGAATCAAAACAATACAGATTTGCGCTCTGAAGTGCCGTTTGGGTATGTAGTGTTTTTTAGCTTTGAATGCCTGTTTCTAGAAGTTAGGACAAAAAAACAACTTAACAAATGAGCAGAAATGACAGAGCACCATTTTTTCTATATATATTATTATTAATAGCATGTAACACAACATTTTGTTTAGACCAAATAAAACTGTTTCTATTCTTCAGCTTTCTTAGTTCTTATACACTATAAGCAGTTTTTAATCTGTAGACTGTCAATGAATGACTGATAGTTAGATCAGTGCACTGAGTGAAACAAGATGATGCAAGGATTCTGATCAGTTGGAAATTAAACGTTTGAAAATTGGTTTGACATGCAGTCCAAGGTCACTCATGTTTAATCGAGAGGAGAGGATAAGATACTGTTAATGTTACTTTGATTATTCATGGTGTGTTTTATGCTTTAAGATCAAGGATGTGTAATTACTGAGTGAGAAACATAAAGTGAAGTGTGTTATACATAGACAGGCATGTAATGTCACTAAATGGTGTTTAGTGACTTCGAAGACATTTATAGCTAATATCCTAACAGCCTTTATCCTGCAGTACTTTTTTCCTATAACAAATGTTATATTTACTTTAAATGTAATAAAACATTTGATAAAAATGTTATTGTTGTTTTGAGCAATTTTTGAGTATAGAATGAATAGCTGATTGTGTAAAAAAGGTAAAGGTCCCTTGGTTAAATTGTAATAATATTTCACAATATTAACATTTTTACTGTTTTTGTTTAATAATTAGCTTAAGAGACAATACTATTGTTCAAAATGTTGGGGTCAATAAGATGTTTTTGAAAACATTCAAATGCAGTCTAAATGTTTAATACAATAAATAAAAAACAGTAAATATATATTTAAATATAATCAAGGCATGTTTTATGTTTTTTTTTCTTCGCTTTATTGAAATTAATTGTTGAGACACAAGCAATAAAAACATTCCAAAAAAAGGTCTAACTAAATGACAGCGTGTTTATATACAAAAGTGAAAGATTCAAATATATACAGGTTAATAACATGTACAGACACTCTTAATATCTCACTCTGAATTTCTTTATATGTCACTCTTAAGTTAAGAACCAAGAAAGAACATTAAAACAATAACTCTTAACAGTAACTATGTTGGCATACACACCAATGGACAATAAAAGCTCAAGCTTAAGTCATGTTGATTCTGATTGGCTGTCCAACAATATTGTTTGTATCATTCATTAGAATGATTATTAAAAGTTTATAGTTACAGTTATCATCCTTGGTGTGAACAAGCCTTTACTGGAGTTGCATTTATACTACCACCAACCTCAAAAAAAACTATCCAGGAAACGATGTTATGGAAATTACAATATATACATAAAATATCTATATACATTTTACTACACATAGTCTCCTCCCAATTGCCACATTAATAATTCACATCTAAATGGCAGTGGAGGCTCAAATGGGAACAATGCAGGGAAGATAAAGTCCATCTCTATATTTCAGGCATCTGAAATCCGAAGCAGAAGCTCACTTGAATTTGTCTAAATCATCTGTTCAGAGCTGAAGGATCTTTCTGTGAGAAATGACAAGGACTACGACAGATCCGGGCCATCTCTTGGTTCATTTCAATACACATACCCAGTGACCAACTTACATCAAAGCCCAGGATCACTTATTTTCAGCACATCTTTTATCGCCTTGCTGTAACAAACTTCATCTGCTTTTCTTCACCATAACGCTGGGCTCTGAACTTTAAACATTCTGTCTTCTTATACTTTTCCTTCCACCATCCATGAGGGTTAATAAGGCGAAAGTGTCTCCCTTCGGCCCCAAAAACCCATCAGCCGGGGTCCTCTTCTCAGCTATTTAGATGCTAGGCTGCCAGGGGCCTCATATCTTCATCTTGCTCAACATCTTCAACAGTTCTTCACTCTCGTTTCTTTCCAAACACTGCAGACACGCTTCTGACTATACCCTTGATTCCAACCATTCCCTTTTTAAGTGCTTTGGACTCCTTGATGAGGTCCAGGATTTCGTGAAAAACCAGCAGCACACCGTGGTAGGTTTCTGCCGCCGAGATCTCGAAGAAGCCGCAGTCTGCCGAGAGGGCGAACAGTCTGCCCTCCTCACTCGACACGGCTCTCTGATGCAGCAGGTCTCGCTTGTTCCCCACGATGATTGGGGTAGATGCGGACAGCTTCCTAGTCTGGCGGATGAGTTGCACCTGTTGCCGGACCACCTCAAAGCTGGAGCGATCACAGATGCTGTAGACCAGGATCACACCGTCTGCCCACTGCATCTGCTTGTCACTGATGGATTCAGTTGTTTCGCAGCTCTGGAGAATCAGAATTCAGAGGGTCAAATCACATCAACTTCAACAAGAAAGTATGATCCAATAAAACCTGAATAAATGCATACGTTTAAAAAAATTTTTTTTTTAGCATAATTAAATATGATACAAAAAAATTATTCATGTCCACTTCACACATACATAAAGTATAAAATTCAATATGATTATTATTCTCACTGTATTTTACTAATTATTATGCTTTTCCTTTTTTCCTATTTAAGCAACCTTCCTCAGCTTAAAAAGTATTTTGGTCATTAGAAATATTAATTCAGTCAGGTGTGTTTAAACTTTTTTTTGGTACTGCATGTATAATTTCAGATTTATTTACCCTAACACTGTATATATATACATATATATATTATATATATAAAGACAAAAAATATTAATAAAGAGCCTACCAATTTAGGACAAATATAAGGTAAATTAACTTTTTTTTTTACGTTTTGTAAACACAATTACATTTATCAACACAAAATATAAAATTGACACTCACAAACCATATTTTTATTAATTAATTTGTTTATTTGTTTGTTTTTTAACTGCATGCTAGCTTTGGCTGGCTATATTTTCATGGTGAATATAGAAACAATATAATATACAAATATAAAATATAGAAACTAAAACATATTTTTTAACACCCATTTTTCCTAATAGCCTACATTTGGACTAACTTGATTTAATTTTCTTCAAATCTTATTAAGAGAATAAAACAAACTGACTATATTATTGACCGACCAACAGTGTTGGGGAGTAACTAGTTACATGTAACGGCGTATAAATCCAAAGACAATACTATTGTCAAAGCATGGTAACCACAAATTAACCATGCTTTTTGCTACACTAACCATAGTTTAACCATGGAATTTGTAGAAAAATTTATACAAATAGTAATCCATTTGCCAAAAAAAAAAAAGAAAAAAAGCCATGGTTACTTTTACTACAATAAAAGCATGGTTAATTTTTGAAAGGGAAAAACATGACTGGTGTTCAGTATTAGGATTTTTCTATCTTTTAAATAGGGTAACTTGTAATCTGTAACCTATTACATTTCCAAAGTAACCTTCCCAACACTGCCGACCAAGGATGAGTCAAGGAATTATATATTATTATTGAGACAACCTATCAAATTAATTGGCATATTAAAACAATTTGACCTCTTCATGCATTCTAGTATTGTAACCCAAATATTTCAAACAAAATACACGTCATACCTGTGGATACAGGGAGTCCCAAATATTTAAGGCTATTTCTCGCCCATCTGTTTTGTCAATATGACTGTATATTGATTCTGAAAGAGAGCATGTTGAAATTAAAGACTCCTCGTTCATAAACAACATAGCTTGTAGGTTAAGAATGGTATTATAGTAGGCTAAATCTCATTTGACGTACCAATATCCCCATACTCTCCGATGAACCTTCTGGTGAGAAATCGCACAGTGAGGGCTGCAAACAAATAAATAATAAATTATTATTCGCAAGCTTCACAAAATAGATCATAGAAACATGACAGAAATCTCTGCATTCAAAGTCAAGTTCAGTTTTGTGCTCACCTGACTTCCCAACATTTTCTGCTCCAAGCAGCAGAACATTGGCCTCAACTTTGTGCTGATTTCCATCCATCGCTTTGCTGCCCAACTGAAGATTTGGTTTGACCAGAACAACCATTTCTCCTAGTGCAGCCTGTGAATGTCTTGAGTGTGCGCTTCACAAGCTACTTCAACTATATATAAAAACAGTGGGTGGGGCTTATGGAAGTTGAGTCGCCTTTAAACAGTGCGCCTGTTCTCATTAGCAAACTGCCAAAAACTAGTCCTATCAAGTAGCCCTGTGTGTTAGACGTTTATATCAACAACAACAAGGTTTGTTTATTCGTCTTTCAACCACAATCAACTCATACCGCCCTCAAAATATTGCCAGCGCAAGAGAGCGCCTTAAATCATGCTTGTTTTGTTTGCATTCGTACAGCGATAAACAAAAGGTTTTAAAACGTTTTATAACAAAATAGTTGAGATACAACTACAACTTAGGCCATTAATATATTCCAGAGATGTCGTTTTTAATATTTCTATTTAAAAGTTTCTGTTATATACGTTTTGAATTTTTTGGTATATGGTGGAAAAGTCTTTCTAATTATCTTTATTTGCTATTTTTATGTTTTGTTTTTTTTCAAACGATGTTATTTAACCAGGTCCCCACTCTAGAATTTACATCTTAAAATTCCACTATTATAATCTAAAGAAAGAGTCAAATTAAAAACATCAACCATTTTAAATGCGATATTTCACATTATTGCAACACAGCTGGTGGGGGTGGAACAAATTACACAAATTCATATATGTGTGTGTGTGTGTGTAGTAAGACTGATGCTTGCCTTAATAAGCGCCAACGAGTTAGATTGAAAACAGAGCAAATTCATGCAACCAAAGGATCATCGCGTCCTCTGCTGGCATCAGAGCTACATGACAACATTGATCTAATAATGCTAATAATTTGCAACCCACATGCACAAATAGATCGTGGCAGATCAAGGCATAAAGTGACCAGAGAAAGAAATTTGACCTTGGATGAAATAATCTGTTTAATACACATCTTACTTTAAGGCAAATCTAAATAAGCAAAGTACTATAAAACACAGAAAGTGGTCTGGTCTACAGAAGATTTTTTTGCGACTTTAAAAGTAATGACTGAGGCACTTAATTATTCAGCAGCGGCATCTCTCTCCTTCCCTTCATCAGTGCAGGATTTCTTTGCAGCTGTACCACAGTTTGCCGTGAAAAACTCTCTCATGCGTTTCAAAGTGTTTCTGTGCTTCTCTCGTTCAGCCTCTGTCTCTGGTGTTCTGCTTGGATCTTTGCTGCTTGAGTGATTTAGGAGAGAAGCATGGAGACTCTTCCCAAAAGATTCATTCAGCTGTTGCTGGAAAGATTTTTTAAGTTTGACAACCATGTTTTTCCTCTGTAGAAATAACAAAAATAGCATGTCATTGTTGTATAACATTCAATTCAATGATTATTAGGTATGAATTTGCAGCTCTTAAAGTCCCCATGAAATCAAAATTAAAGTTTTTTGGGTGTTAGTATCAATGTTAGTCTTAACGTTATCTATAAGGCAGTGTGCTCCAAAACAGTGACAAAATTCGCATTTAGAAGATATAAGCATTCAAAGCTTGCAGTTCGTCACTTCCGCCAAAACGGCTCAACTATTTTTTTTTTGACGTCACATCGTACTTCAGCTTCTCATCAAACTTTCTGTCCAATCAAATGCTCTCTAGAATCCGAAGCGCCCGCCCCCTACACTATAAAATAGACGCTGAAGCCGTGGCTGAAATCGGTCACTTATCCACAGAATTAGCATTTTATGTACAGTGAATGGCACGTAGTGCCCTATATAGGGGACAGGGCAATATCCCGGAGTAATTAATTTACTCAAACAGTACACTGACTGAACTGCTGTGAAGAGATGAACACGAACAGAGCAGCATCTGTGCAGCAAGCCGGATAATGAACGTACACGCCCACTGCTGGAGCGGTTCTCTTTCTTGAGTCAAGAACCGGTTGCTTTGGTTTTCGGATCACCGGTACACTCAACCGAGAACCTATATTTGAATGTGTATTTTCATCTAGGCCTGGGACGATAGACTTGATATCATTACGTCATCGCGAATGACGTCATTACATTAGGGCGTAAAATGGCCGTTTTTTTTTAACCGGTTCATTGAAACGAACTGTCCTAAAGAACCGGTTCGCGGAAAAGAACCGGACTTCCCATCACTACATTACGGAGCTCAACGGCTCTGAACGGCTCTAGCCCAAACTGTGATATAAACGAACGCTATTGGCTATTTTAAAAAGGGGCGGGGCTGCTTGATATGTCCCGCCCTGTCTTCCTGTTTCAGTTAAAATGACGTCAACACAGAGTAACGCTGCGTGTTTCTAAGCATTTCAGGGAACCTTTAAGGTAAAGTTTTGAACTACGAAGAAGAAGCTTAGCAGTTAAATTACACATGAATGTGATCAGCTGAATGGCAGTGATTTACCTCCGAGTTCATCATCAAGATGTCAAAAAGAGTCCAAACATCTGACACCAGCTCAGCAACAGTCCGATAAGGCGGCTTCCGTTTCCCCAGGAGTCGGCCGAGTATTATATCAAATTCGGCTGTTTTTGAGTGATTCTTTAAAAACAAAGCACAGCTCATAAGGTCATTTTTAATCTGGATCTATTTATTTATTCGAAAACACATTCAAATGTGAAGCAAACAACAAAATCATGCGGTGTGACAAAGGCAGAAGCATTCAGGAAAAATAAGGAAATTACATTAGAGAGGAGCTCTGAAGACTTTCATGACTGTGTATCAAGGTCAATAAGTCTATTAATATATATAATAATTTGCCTATGAAATGGAAAAGTTAGTTCAGGTTGTAAAATGTCATGTGGTACATTATAATTATGAATAAATAATTGTATTATTACTCATGATATTTTTTTACATCCATATATATTATTAAGTATAGTAACATTTATCTTAACACAATTACAATCTTTTTTTTAATAATGTGAAAATACATTCTCGCATCTATTCAAATACACTCGCATGTATTCAAGGTGTAACAAAAAAATGTGTTTTTAATTGATAGTTACACCAAATTTAAACTTTTGTTGAAAATGGTATAAAAGTTTTTTTTTCAAAAACTGCACGAATACAAAGAATATATTTGTAAAAACTTAGCACAAGTTAATCGAACATCTATCTTCACATTCTTATTTGTCATTAACTATTCAATAAACTGTCTGGAATAATAATATTATTGGAATATTGGAATATCATCAGTATTTGTGACTGTTTTTCACATTTTAAAATAAAAAAAAGTAAATTGTGGACTGAAGAAGCTCAGGCTATGCTAAATACAACATGCACTGTGTATTTACCTTGGTGGCGCTGAAGAGCAGGCTCTTGTTCTCATCACACAGGAGACCAAAGAGAAGCTTCTCACACTTCTGAACAGAATGGATGACATTATATTGGTGTGACTTTATATCATTTTAGGACAAGAGATAAAAGATGTGGCATGACACTATACTAAACTACAATCCTCTCCTAAAATATCCTTTTAAAAAGTGTTGCGAGGGTAACTATGAATGTAGATTCTTTCAGGCTGGTGGTGTCTCACTCTTTGATCTTCCAGACTCAGACTAGGCGTCCTCATCTCCTCACTGCCATACACAACTGTCTCATTTAAATCCTGACATAGCAAACACACCCATTCCTTACTGCAAGAGAAAAGAAATATACCAAGACTCAAATAGTGGACAAAGAAAATAGTTACTGTTCTTACATGCAGAAGCTTATCAAACTCCAAAGTTATAAATCATAGATACTCCAAAATTGTAATTAGTGTTGTACAGTGTTATGTTAGTTTCTGATGGTCTCACCAAGGTTTTGTGAGAATTGGTGGGATGTGACAGTCATAGTGAAAAGCACAGCCACATTTTGCACACAGAAGTGGAGCTCCTGCAGACAGACACACGGCACAGAACTCTACATCAGATGCCGGGGAGCTGTCGCTGTCTTGGGATACAGAGCAAGAAGAGGATCTAGATGGTAATGGATCTTCATGCCATCTCCACACCTGGTTAACCTGGGGAAGAACAGGGAACAATTGAGAATAGCTGTGGTGCTAACATGGCTTTATACTAACAAGAGTCATATGTACTCAGGTCTTTCCAGCTCTACAGTGTCCTATCCTTACCTGTCCACCCTGGGATTCCTGCACTAAGATGTGACCTGTGGCGGTATCTGTAGTAAGGTGGAACTCTGGGAGTGGCTGTCCACTTGGAGGCAGAGAGATGGGCAGACACTCAAGAGAAACACGTAGAAACCTATTCGACAGAAAACAGTGGTCTCCGATCAAAAAAAGACTTTTATTCAGCAAGGACACATTTATTTGATCAAAAGTGACATATAATAATGTTACTAAATATTTCTATTTCAAATAACTGCTGTACTTTTGAACTTTCTATTCATCAAGGGATCATTAAAAAATGTATCATGGTTTTCATAAAAACATTAAGCAGCACAACCGTTTTTAACATTGATAAAAATATGTTTCTTGAGCACCAAATCAGCAAATCAGAATGATTTCCGAAGGATCAAGTGACACTGAAGACTGGAGTAATGGCTTCAATTACAAGAATACATTTCATTTTAAAATATATTAAAACGGAATTTACAAAAGAATAAAATGGTTATTTTAAATTGTAATAATATATCACAGTGTTACTCTTTATTTCTGATTAAATAAATACAGGCTTGGTGAGCAAAGAGACTTTCAAAAACTTTTGGACGGTAGTGTGAATAGTATTAACACTATTAATACTGTTAATAATATTATTAAGTTATTACAAACATTATTTGTGACATAAATGAGGTTAATAATTCATGCGATGCAGGAAGGATGCAAATAAGCACTATAGATTCTACTATGAAGAAGGTCTTCAACCAATACTATACTATATACTATATCCTGAGTCCACCTCTTGAATTGTTTGATTTGTCTCCTGAAGTGTTCCAGCGTTACTAAAAGAGAGAGAGAGAGAGGAAAAAAAAGAAATGAGTGAGGAAAACAAACACTATACTTTTGACAACTCTTTTGAGAAGAAAATCACCTGCAGATTCTTTGTCTTCTTTTTTTGCCTCCCTGTAGTCAAACGCACTTTGGATAGTCTTGTCATGAGTTGTCCTCTGGTAGGAAAAGAAAGCTTTTGAATGAAACACAGATCTCTGACATACAACTCTCCATACTTCTATCTGTAAGAATCAAACATTCACCAACCTCCCCGTCAAGGTCTTCTGATGTGCTACAATGAGTTGAATCCGCTGGAGGTGTGGTGTTCAGATTGTCTTTTGAGCTGACAGGTATGCATGTTGCCTCTACAAGTTGACGGAAAGTTATCGGCATGCCAACGCTCCAGTGTTTTGGTCCAGAGTAGTTCTTGGTCAATGACTGATCGTCTAGAGTTTGTCTTGAACATTTCTCTGTGATGGTGGAGAGAGAATCCTGGTGAATGTTGGATGGGCCAGAGGAGTGCGCAGGATCTGGTGAATGTTCTTTGGGAGCTGTCTCTGACACATGGGAGGTAGGCAAGTTGCTCTCCAGATGATCCGTATCAGTGAAATTCGTGCTGCTCACATCTGCATCCTGATCACAGGCGGAATCAGCCAAGGCCTTGACTGGGACGTTAATGCTATTGTAGGTGCCGTTTTTACTCCAGAGGGTGTCGTTGCCACTAATGGGAGCAGAAGGCATTGGGTTTACAGGACGTAAAGAACCACTAGCTGTGCTTGGGATGGCATTAGAAATTGTACTGGTGGGATTTGGTGCACAAGGGTCCTGGGGACAATGATTCATCCTACCACTGGAGACTTCAGTAGAGTGGACATTAGAGATTGCAGTAGCGTCATTTAAGGAAAGTGTGTTTATGGTTGAAAGGACAGTTAAGGGAATATTGGGTTGCATAGAAAAAGAATGTCCAGGCCCCAGGAAATTGGTTTGTATTGGATGGGTCAGTATGAGTGTTTGGTTGCAAGTTGGTAAAGAATGGGTTAGTATGGTTGATTGGTTGTTGGCTGGTATTGGTTGAATTAACACAGGCATTTGGTTGTTGGCTGGTATTGGATGAGTTGGTATGGGTGTTTGGTTGTTGACTGGAATTGGTTGAATTAATACAGGCATTTGGTTGTAGGCTGATATTGGATGAGTTGTTACGGGTGTTTGGTTGGTGTCTGAAATTGGTTGCTTTTGGTTATTGACTGCCATTTGATGAGTTTGTAGGGGTGTTTGGTTGTTGGCTGGCATTGGATGAGTTGGTGTGAGTGTTTGGTTGTTGGCTGATGTTGGATGAGTTAGTATAGGTGTTTGGTTGGCTATTATTGGATGAGTCAGTAGGGATGTCTGGTTGTTGGCTAGAATTGCATGAGTTGGTATGAGTGTTTGGTTATTGGCTAGTATTGGATGAGTTGGTACAGGTGTTTGGTTGTTGATAGGCATCTGACGAGTTAGTAGGGGTGTTTGGTTGTTGGCGGGCAATGGATGAGTTATAGGTGTTTGGTTGTTGACTGAAATCGGTTGTTTTTGGTTATTGACTGCCATTTGATGAGTTAGTAGGGGTGCTTGGTTGTTGGATGGTATTGGGTGAATTGGTATGGGTGTTTGGTTGTTGACAGGCATTGTATGAGTAAGTACAGGTGTTTGGTTGTTGGCTGGTATTGGATGAGTTGGTGCAAATGTTTGGTTGTTGACTTGAATTTGATGAGTTAGTTGGGGTCTTTGGTAGTTGGCTGGCACTAAATGAGTTGGTGTGAGTGTTTGGTTGTTGGCTGGTATTGGATGAGTTGGTACAGGTGTTTGGTTGTTGACTGGTATTGGTTGTTTTTGGCTGTTAACTGGCAATGGGCGGGTGAGTATGCGTGTTTGAGAGACCTGCATGGTAGGGCAATAGGCCTTCCTACATTTGGCTGACTCAGAGATATTGTTTATTTGAGATGCTGTGCAGTTCATGAGTGGAAGACGGAGCTGAGAATAAACAGACGGAGAATAATTCATGTGAGTTTTAGGAGCAGACTGAGAAAAATATGGGACACAGTTCGATGAGGGACTGTAAGCATGCTTGGATTGCTCAGACATGACTTCATGGGATTGGACTTGGACAGATGGTGAGGAAGATGAACTCTGAAGGTCTGAAGAGGAACGTTTAGATTGATTCGGTTGGGATGAGGCAACATTGTTATATGCCTGGTTAGAATGAGATGGCTGGCTGGGTTGAGATGGATGAGGCAGACTATGAAGGGCCTGGTTTATTTGCACAATCTGAGAGGAGGCACAGGGACGCAGTGTAAAACTGTTGAGAACACATTCACCCTGAACCTGTGCATCAACACTTGAGGAGGTGGGTGCAGGATGAACATCAGTGGCAGTTAGAGGAGAATTTGGATTTGAGCTTTTCACAGACACAGACTCTAACTGAGTGGAATCAGTTCTCTGAGTGGTAAATGGAACAAGAACCTTACTAATCCTCAAAAATCCTGGGCAAAAAGATGTTAAAGAAAGGAAAAGATGTTAAATTCATAGATTTTAATAAAACGTAGATACATTTTTCTAATAAAAAAGTTTAACGTTTTATTTTACCAAATTTCATGATGTGCTGACAGAGTTCATTCTGAATCTGAAGGTGCAGTTCAATCATGGTCTCAGGGGTGTATGCCTTCTGGGACAGAAGCTTTTTCACCTGGGTCTCAATCTGAGTTAGAGACACAAAAAATATAGCAGGGGGCTAAACAAACATTTAGGATCTGAATGACTGCAAGTTTTAGTCACAAATATGGTAATAGAATGGTAACAAATGTATGCACTTCACCTCAAAACATATGACGGAGCTAATATTATCCTAAACAAGATCAATAAATCTAGGGGGGGTGTCTTTAACATAATCAGTATGAATGTATTATGTAATACAATGTATTATGATATACAAGCAATAAGCAAAAAATAGAACAGCTTACCCTTTTTGTGTGGACCAGGAGGCAGTGGCCCTCTGTGCATAGGATCTTGTCAATAAAAGCTGCTATGTACTCCTGACAGCCTTCCAAACTGTTCAGAGATGTCTTCCTCTCCAACAAACACCCCACCTCCTCCGCAAATAAGGCCTTAATAGCAAACATTTAAAAATGAATCAATGGTTACAGGCTTGAGGTTCCTGAACAGAACTGGAGATAGATAACAAGGAAGTCATACAAAGAATATGCTGAGTGTTTTCAGGTAATGCTAAAGTATGTGGGTGTTTCTCAGGGAGATTTAGTACTTTTCTTGTCTTTCTCATAAGAGGTTGTATTCTGATACCAAACGTCAGTCTTTATTGTAGCTCAGAATCTTTTGCACAGAAAGAGTAAAAGATCGTTTTTTTATGATGTGATGGAAATTCTTTGATGGAGAGTTTAGAGAATGTGCTCCAACACAAACCTTTTAATGTGTATGAAATTTGAATGCTTCTTTTATTTATTTTGCTTAATTCCTGTTTCATATTCTGAACAGTTATATGCTTATATTGAAATCCAAAATGTTTAAATGTATTTTGCCCTGAACTAGGAAGGTCAAACGTACATCTAACAACCATAAAAGGATTTGGTACAAATGTATACTATAACTAAATCTGTCTTATGAAGTAGTCTAGGGAAATGATCTGCCTAGATGAGTGTAACCAATCAAAATGAAGAAAACCATGCAGCTCATGTAACCATGCCATTTTTATATATTCTACAAAGTATAAATAGGTGTGCATTTTTCTGTTGGTCAAACTTTAAAGTGAAGTTTTGTCGAGTTATGATAAAAGAGACTGAAGCTACATACTGTAATGATGGAGATCGAAAACACATTCTGAAAATTTGTGAAGTATGCCAAATATTCATAATTTACCTTTCCACTGAAATATTAAAATCATGTACAGCATGCTTCAGTAAATGAGGATTATTGAGTTCTAAATGCTTACCTCTATCACCTTTAACATCTGTGTAGCTTTTAGAACCAGAGTCTGATAAATGGAGTGGACTACCTGTGTCAACATCTTCTTTGCTGCTACTTTTATTTTTTCAATTTCCTGCAATCTAACAAAGATTAAAATATCCTCAACAACACAATAATTACACACAAGAAGATAAAACAGGAAATGTCTGCAAAGCGAAACCATTATAATGCAACTTCGGTTGCAAGCACATCTGCTAGAAACTGCTACTGTCCTGCAATATTTAGTGAGCTATGACAGTCTAAAAAAAGAATGTTGTGATCCACTTTCTTTTTATTATACTTCATTGCCTATTCATTCAATTCACTGAATACATTATACAAATAAACATTTCTTTTACAAAGACATAACATTTTTCTTATTATACACTTTTTCTTCTTTTCCTTTATATATACGACTTAATTCCCTTTTCCTCATATATATATATATATATATATATATATTCCATGAGGTAAGAGGGAGGTATAAGAAAAGTCATTATTCCTCTTGTGTATATTCCTTTGTTTTATATTATATTTTTTACTTTTAGAGGTGCCCATATATTTTCAAAAAGTACACTTTTGTTCTTAATTTCATGTTATCATCTCCATAGAATGTGTTTTGGAAACTAAATCTAACCAGTCCTTTAACACTGGGGATTCTAGCCTTCTCCAAACTTTCATTATTTCTTAAAAGCAATTCTCAGTATTCTAAATAAATAAGTAGCGTACTATACCCAGGACTATGTTTTGTATCTTTATTATATTCAGTTTCTTAAAAATGTTCTCCATTACATAAATTACTTCTGTCCAAAATGTTTTTATTACTTTACAAGTATAAAAAATATGTGTGTAATGAGCTTTAAACACACCACATCATCTTCCACATCCTAAAGATGCCTGATTATACTTATACATGATATTTCTGGTGTTATGAAATATCTCATGTTAATTTTCCAAGCATATTCTTGCCAACATGGAGATTGCATGGTTTTTAGAATTTCAATCTCCTTCCATTCTTCTTCTTCCATATTGTTTAACTCAGCCTCCCATTTTACTTTAAAGTTATGTAAACTCTTATCTTTAAATTCTTTGAATATTTTATTTATTCGACCTATTAAATTATATACTTTAGAACATTTATAACTTTGATTATAAACCACAACAGAGGGTGAATATCTTCTATTTTTTATTTTAATTTCATCTATTAAATAACTTATTTGTAGATCATTTCCTATACAATGCATTTTTTGTTTTGTTTTCAAAAGTATTGATCTCATTATCACCACACATCTGATAAAATCTTATGTCCTTTGCCAGCCCAAGCCTCAAATACATCATCTAAAGCTGTGTGATCCACCTTCACGTCCATTGTTAATATTGCATTGTGAAATGAAAAACATGACTGAATGTTATTCCACTAATATTAGATGTTTAGAAACTTCATAAATATCTTTTCCTTCTTTTAGATGCTTTCCATTTGTAATTCAAAAAATGGCTAGTAACAGCAGCTAGTATGTGTGTTTAATTACTGAAAATCTGGCTTTTACCAATTTACGAGCATATGCTGTGTCTCTCTACCCACTCTTTACCCAAGCTTGCATTCCTTAGAGGTGATAAGAGTTCTGTGCTTTCTCTCTGGATTGGCCAATTTTGGCTCTTTGACTTTGGGCGTTTTTTTTCTTCTTTGTTTTCAGTCATGTCAAAAATACATTAATTTACTGATCTTATTAACATTAAGTTCCTTGATTACTAATTGTTTTAACATATACAGGTATGTGAATCAATATGTTGTAGAGATTTCATTACATATTCATTAATTGTTAAGTATTATTAATTGTTCCTTCATCTCTTATATTCCAAAATTGAACATCACAAGGTTGAATTAAAAACAATGCCTCTTTCAGTAGTCCTGAGGGAAACATCCTAAGTTCTGGGTGAGAATAGGGAGGTAGTGTCTGTCTTATCAGAAGGACACAAGCTAGAGAGAGAAAACGAGACATTCTGTGCATGGGCAGACATCATTACAGACATCAATATCATTACATTTATGTGCTTGAGTAAAAGTCTTCTATACATGAATCTGTACGGTTGCAATGAATAAATACCTTGTATTTCAGCCTGACTACAGATGAATTGTTAAGTTATCAAGAAAACGTTTTTGTGTGTGTGTGTGTATAAATAGAAGATTTATACACACAATAGTACAATAGAAGAGTACTTCTATTTCAGTAATGTTTCTAGTGACCATCTGTTAGCAGGATGTAAAGTGATCTGTTCCTGTATTCACTGTTGGGTCTGGTTTGATCTGCCATTAACACCTCTCCTGGTTCCCACACTCTCTTTTTTTCTGTTTCTGTTCACCACTGTCCTTTTGAATAAACAGCCGTTTACACCTTGTATTAAGATTAGTCTCAAGTGACTCAGCCACTGACGCCCAGGCTAGACAGATCGTCATTTACATGTGGTACAAACATCTCATGCGTCTCCTGTATCCACTTGTGATTGCATATCAAGGGCAGGGTCTCACTACCTCACATATGTTGATAAAGCACAAAATGTAAAATAAAAACACACTGGATCTCTCAAAAAATCTTTTAGATTTTTTTTTATGCTTTATTATTATCATTAATTCATTTTTTACGCCCTGTTTAAACCTGCATTTAACATTGAAAATGGATGGTAAGCGGAGCCTTTTTCATTTTTAAGGAACTTCAAATCACTAAAAGTTTTCTTTAGAAAGTTGGTAAATGATTTTGACACATTATAGATGGATTTTAATGGATCATAGTATGAAGCTAACAATAGTCTGTGCCCCTCATACACTATGCAATAATTACTACCCCAAACCTGCAGACTGCCTATAAATTCGGCCAACTAGTAGTGACACGTCCAGACTGCAATCGAGGCAAAAATAAAATAAAACATTTGTAGTGTATTTCAGTCTTCACCAATTTTCCTTAAAGGGACAGTCCACAAAAAAAGGAAAATTCTGTCATCATTTTTATACATTTCTTTCCTCGGTGGATCTCAAAAACAGAGACATTTCTCAAAATACCTTTTTTATCTACCACAGAAGAAAGAAAATCAGTTTGGAATAAGAGGAGGGTGAGTAAATGATGACAGAATTCTCTATATCCCTTTAAGAAATATGGGTGAAACAAGGATGTGACAGACTGTTATTGACAGACTGTTCATTTATCTCAGTGGTTCTCAATTCCAGTTCTGGGGACCCACTGTTCTGCACATTTTATCTGACACACTTAGTTCAGTTCATGGATCTCTCTCCAAACTGATGATCTGAATCAAGAGTGTTAAATAAGTGAGACATGCAAAATGTGCAGAGCACGGGGTCCCCAGGACTGGAATTGAGAACCAGTGATTTAAATGGTGTACTGTAGATTTGACCAAGATAAGATGTAAGTCCTCATGGCTCCATTCAGTTACCTTGCCTCTAGGAGCAGCAGGCTGCTGATGACCGTCTCTTTCTGATGTCTGATGGAGTCCAACAAACTCTGCAGCTGCTGTCTCTGAGATCCCACAGCTTCCTCCTGCTGCACAAAACTGACACATAGATGGACATGTAAAAACACGGACATAGAGAGTGTGTGTGAGATTGAAAAACAGAACATCCTGTGCCTGCTGTGTTTTGCTGCGCTTGCTATATTTTTGGGCATAGACATTACTCAATGGTCATAAGACATACCACTGCCATATTAGGATATTTTAGCCCTTGCTACATTTTCTTATTGCTCAATATTTCACTTCTGCTTGACTCTATATATACGCATCACATAACCAATAAAACTGAACCTAGATTGAACTGCACCACTTGTGCCTATTTCATTCTGGGCTCCCGGGTACCTGTCTCCTCTGCTCCATAACCCAACCGGATAATCAGATAACCACTTCGGATCTCTGCAATTACTTAAAATACATTTATTTTAACACTGTGATAAGGTATTGTTGAGGAGGAATATCAAAATATATAAAATATTTTTGGTCTAACTCCTCCAAATATCACAAAGTTTTACAAACTTGTTTTTTGCGTTTGTTTTACAAACAAAACGCAAAAAAAAATGCCCATATAGTATCACATGCACTGATCTGAGTGGGTTGATATGGACTATACCTGTGGCCCCTATGAGTGATCAGCTGACAGTCCTTACAGGTGAGCTCTTCACAAACAAGACAGAAGAACCTCAAGCTCTCCTGAGTGTGTGAGGGACAGCGTCTTCTCTGTATCCAACCTGAACAAAACAAATAACAGAACAGATCTGATAATAAACAGAAGCACAGATGTTTATAGTGTAAGAGAAAATATAATTTTCTCTATGTATATCAATGCCACTGCTTATGCATGATTAATTTTGTTAATCTTATATGAATTAAGAGATTTCCTTGCATAACTTTTAAATCATGAAAGATGATTTTTGATGTATATACATATATATGTGTAAATCATTATTTTTAATGTATGTATTGAAAACAGATTTTCTACCTTAATTGTTCAATAATAAATGATGTTTTTGATGAAGGGATTAGAGGAGGAGGACAAAAGTAATTGTCTCCCTCTGATGTTTCAAGTTTAAACTACAAATGCTGTATAAAAAAAAAAACTTGTGTACAATGCCTCAATCTGTAGTCAAGGTCAGTAGACCTGGGAAGAGTCTAAGGAGTCAAATAAAAAGTTTCAATTAAAAAATATGTACATACATCAGGTGAGCATATTATGGGATGTTGAGGAAGACCAATGTGGATGAAGATCAACCAGAAAGTGTACATATATGATAAAAGGAATAGGACGCCTTGTGATAATCTGTTCATTTTGATTATCCAATCTACTTTGAAAGCCTTTGTTCAATGTTAAATGAATTTGCATGGTTTTACTGAATAAATTCTCTTGTTTTGCTTAGAGCTTATTTTGTAGCTCTCTGAGGTATGTTTTGGTTGAAAGAGAAACTACCCTGCATCACGATTTCAGACAAATAAATTTGATTTGATTATTTTACCATTGAGTGGTCTGACTTTAATTTTACAGGTGAATTTCTACCACAATAGCAGTGTTAGTCTGAAGTGTGTATGGACTTTAAGTCTAACCTGTGGGTGGTTTTTTGGGTGTGACTTCATGGTCACGGGTCACTTTTACCCTACGATGAGCAGATATACAGTCCAAACATAGGGCCTCCTCACACTGGACACACCATCCACTAACCTCACTCTCTTCACACCCGGCACACTGAAAAAAGATTAAATTAACATTTTGCATTAAGATTTACAATGGAAGACAGAGGAAATGCCTCCTTTATGTCAGTGCTGGAATTCTTTGGACCAGTTTAAAGTGCATATTGCAGGTTAGAGACCCAGTGAGTCTAGAATTCTATTTAAATTCTAATTTCTATACATGTATAGAAAAATAATGTAGGAACTAGATTTAGTTTAAAATATACTTATAAATATGCTACTTGAGGCTTCTGGAGTCGTTTTTGTGAGAAAATTTTACTTCCGCATCTGAAAAACGGCAAAACCGGAAGTGACGTAACAAGAGGGAGTGTGGTCAATTTAAACAATAGGAAAACAATGGATCGCAATGACAGTTCGGACGCTGAGGAAATTGTAAATGTTTATTCATACTTGAATAACGGACCACAGCCATACAATTATGAGCCTGCTATGTGGCCAAGAGAGCAGGGACAGGCCAGGATTATTCTAATAATAATTAAAGATTATCCTTGCCATTGATCCTGGTGACCACGAACTCTACTACGAATAACTTAGCTAAGAGGTCTTTGTGTCTGCGCAAATAGAGAGAATCGCTATACCTTCCTTTCACTTCTCAATGAAAAAAAAAAAAAACGTCAACACTGAGAGAACATACAAAAGCCACACAGATGTTTTTTATTCACAATAAGCTGCAGAATACGTAGAAACCTGAATCTATAGGACTATATAGTGAATCGCGCTTTGGTTCCTATTTTAGAACGACTTTAAAAAGTAATTGTAGACTAGTTACAGCAAAAAATTATTATTATAATAAATGTGTGTGTGCGTGTGTATATATATATATATACATACAGGTGCATCTCAATAAATTATATATATATATATATATATATATATATATATATTTTTTTTTTTATGTGGGGCTGGGTTTTTCACATGACACATAAATGATGATATATTTCAAAGAGTCAATTCTGCTGTTTTCCACATGCACCGCGATCTCTGGCTGTTCATTATAATGTAGTGTAATAAACATATCCTATCACACAGTATTCAAATCCGGAACAAATTAGCTTTTTTCGAGATTAATGCAGATATTTGTGTGTGTATTGCAGTTCTAAAATATTGATTTAATGTTATACACAGTAACTGTTATGCTTACATTTAGGCAGAACCTTCATTTTTTTAGGTGCACGGCACCAGTTTTTTATTATTATTGTGAAGTGAAATAATTAAATTACTGTGTATAACATTAAATCATTAAATATACATATACTGTATAATAAAACCTAAAATATTTTTTCACTGTAACTAGTCTACAATGACCTTTTTAAAGTCGTTCTAAAATAGTTAAGTCTGGGGTTTCATGACCCTTTAAAGAGCTCGGGCAGATAAAGCAGCAGCATGTGCTTATAATAATCAATAAATGTAACATTTATCTTTATATTTATCGTTCTTTGTGTGAATGGCCCTTTAAATGAATTGGCAAAATCTTCTACAAAAAGAGTAGGGACTGAACTGAATGCACCATTTTATTCAAAACTTTCTCCATAATCTGTGCACTCTTACCTTGGGGGCCTCGTTATTGTTAGACGTGTCTTCAAAAATGGCACATTCTGTGACCTCAGACAAACAAAAGGACTGTGCACATAATGGACAATCTAGATGAAGAAAGAAACAAAAGCCTCAGACACACTAAAATTAAACAGTTCTACAATATGGAAGGCCACTTCATTAAATTCTAACGACTCATGTTGCTGTTGATTAGCAAACCTTGAAGAAAGCACAAAAGTCATTTATTAAAGTAGAATGATTTATTAGAGTAGCAGAAATTATACAAATAAAAAGCATTGTAAATATTTCTACTTTACACCTTGTTTGCTTGACGGTTTTATCAACAAAACTGAACTGATTTTTAACAAATCATTTTTTATTGAAAAATGCAATTTTCTTTCAGCAAAGGGATGAATTGTGGTATTCTTTAATGTTAATGCAAAAATGCAACATGTAAATGACAAAACATATATTCCATATGTAAACATGACACTAATTTCGTCATGACATTAAAGAAACGCAGCGTTTCTATTTTTTCACGCACTGTACAGTGGCCACTTTAAAAAAAAAATTTTTTTGTTTAGCTTTCTCTTCGAAACTTCCTGTATCGACAGGAAATGCGTCAGTAAGCTGCGTTTTTGTTTTGTTTTTTTTTAGATCAGCATCATTACTGTGCGTTCATAAAATGTATATACAATATATACAATGTTATATACAATAACAGTATATACAATGTTTGTTTAGTATGTAGATTTAAAAAAAAAAAAAAATATTATATCGGGGCTAGTTGTAACTGTTCATATGGCCCCCAATGGAAAACACAACCTGGCCCCGGACATTAACTTTAAGACCCCTTATGTAAATAATCGTCGGGACTACACAGTCAATTAAACCTGTGTGAGCCTATTTCGACGCGATTATAAAAACGTCACGTGCAGAGTTGGCCTTTAACGAGAGCCCCATTAAAACCAGTCAAACTGTGAACAGTAACAAGTTACAAGCGAGTTCTCACCTTGTGTGGCTCCATCTGTGCAGATCTTCGTAAGACAAGTATTGCAAACTATATGCAGGCAAGGGAGAAGTCTGGGGTCTGCAGAAGAGTTTAGATGTAGGCCTACTTTGCAAACAGCGCAGCATCCGCAAACAGTTCTTTGTAAAACCGGACGAGGCGACGCTGGACGCCCTGTTTGGTGAGGGGTAAACATCTGTTTCTTGAGAATAAATTAATACAATTAGAGGTGTAACAGCAGATGAAATGTATCTTGATACGCCTCACGGGAAAATCGACGCGTTGCGCTTATTATTGTATGAAGCATTCGTGGAGCTAACGGTAAGCCGTTGATTATGCAGTTCCTAAAATGGCCAGAATTACCCTGGTCCTATTCAAACCACACACTCTCTCCCCCCCTTACTTGGTTCTTACTTTGTCTTACTTTGTTTAATAATTATCACACAATACTATTATAAAACTACATTTCATGATTATTTATGTTACTTTATAATTTACTATTAATTTATTCTTCATTATTGTCTATTCTGTATTATTCCACCCTTGATATTACATATTCTACTCG